TCAGAATTTTTCATCGGCGAATAACATATTCAAAAGGTCTAGCGCATTTATTGCCGCCGCGTGATTTAGCGGCGTCGAGATAACGAGTTGAATCAATATGAACAATTTTCAAAACAACTCGGAAATAAACGAACCGCTTAAGCGCATTTTCAGATTTCAGCGCGTTGTCAGACTGTCCAAATCATAAAATTCCAATATTATTCGAAACCAAGAATAATTTTCAAAATAAATCCTCACTCGCGATTTCTAAACTCAATAATTGCACTAAATATCGCAAGTATTTTTACACCCGATGTAAAAGCTTATTGCTTATTCACCTCGCAGAAATCTCAGCACATTTTGAATCTACGTAAAATGCATCCTAACTGGTACACTTGCCGTTTTTAAATACCGCAATTATTTCTACACACGATATAAAAGTTTACTGCTTATTCGTCTGAACACAGTTTGAATCCACGTAAGATGAAGTACCTCGAGTGGTACACTGATCTAATCATTGGAAGGTTGAAGCGGAGCTGTCCGGGAGATATCGATAAAAGTTGCACGTTCGAGTTTATGCAAACGGGCAGCATGAAAGGTGATGGGCTCGGGAGAAGGCGACGAAGAAAGGAGATCATGTTTTGAATGCAACGTTGTGAGGAGTAACGCGCAGTGCCGTACCTGCGAGAAACCCAGTTATCGAGAGACTTTTATGGAGAGGTCGCGGCTGCTACGCCAGCGAAACGCGTCCTTTCCAACTACATACAAGAATTCCACACTGCGCAGTGTGAATAATTCAACTGTCCCTTTATGCATTTTCATTTTTCCTTCCTTAAACCTATTCACGATATTTTAATGGCCGTATTATCGTCAGACCGCAGGCCTTCGTGAAGTAAAAATTCATAATTCAGATCCAGCAAGTGAAATCCAAATAAGAATTTCCTTTAAATTTTCTACATCTCCCGTCCAATACTTAACGTCAAATATAGTAATAAATAACAGAATCACTATGAATCATAAAGAAAACCTTATTACTTCGCTTTTAGATTTTGTACATCGTGATTGAAATGGTAGTTTGAGAACTGTGGATCAAATGCTCGAGGAGGAAAGAAAGAGTGGATCGAGGCCTGATCGGTTTTCGAAACGGGCCGTGAAATCGAGCACGGTTTCCAACGATCGATCTCGCGGCTCTGACTAATTCCGTCGAATGAATCATTCCATCCACTCTCGAAAGAACACGGCCAAAGTGCATTGCACCGTACCGAATTGAACTTGAATCCCCGACGCTCTGCAGTTGCACTCGCTGAGATAACACGCCGTTTCTTTATATAGTTCGCCTTTATGGCGTTACATAACCACCCAAAACCCTTACAGTCTCATTATCGCTCGCGACGAAACCGTTTCATCTGATATTTCGATTTCACACGTCATATGTAGAAATCTTCTAAAAGATCATTTGATCAAAATGTTTAAAACAGTTATTTCCTTAGAAGGCCCAAAAGAATATACAGACTTTTTATAATAACTGTTCTGATATACTTTTACCGCAGGGATTCGATCGAAAGGAGTATAATATGATTTGGAAATGAAAGTCTTCTCTCAAAGGAGAGTAGAGGTGGTTGAAAATTTCAAATTTCCCTCGGCTGGTCTCGTGAGGATAAATTGACAGGGACGAGAGACACTGTAAGTAACCAGTAAGTCTTTACACGAGAATATACATTATTATGCATAAAGCATACCGTGTGTATAGATATACATTATTTCCATCTAACCCAGAAACCAGTGTCGATCGAAAGAAAAATCGCTGGTTTCTCCTCGGAAGAAAACTCGAGTCTTCTGTCTCGAGATGAAACCGTTCCAGTTTCCCATGCTTGACCCACTCTTTCATGGGAAGGGAGCGTGATACGAGAGACGCGTGTGCCGCACGCTCGCGTTCTCCTTATCGGCCAGCCGCGGGGCCTGGACCGGTCCCGAAGGAAGAAAAGCTAACAAGGACTTCGTACACGCTCTGGGTTTCGATTCGATTTTCTAAACTAGAAGTTGGCAACGAGTCAGATGAGATAACGTCGCCTTTCATCATTTTGATTGAAATCATAAAAGCTGTGCTCTCTTTGATACTTCAATTCTGTATAATAATTAATGTTCTTGAAAACTGAGACTCTAGAAATGCGCACGTGATTTAATAGAGAAAATGAATGAAACGGAACTAACTTTCTACATAATAATCACATAGAAACAATATTTTCAAGTGCTCAGAATTAAAAAATGCAAACATAATTCAATAGGAAACTTGTATTACAAGAAACTGGCTCCAATGTCGTACACAGCGAAGCAGTATTTTGATCTGAGGCTCGGCAGATACAAAAATAATTGAACAGGAAAGTGAACAAGCGTTCTTCATGAAGTGTACTGATTGGTCGGTAGCCAGGGGACTGATAATACTCGAGATAAAGAGAAAGTTATCATTATACAGAATCGTCGTTTATACAGAAAGAAACAATAATTTACGAACGCGTTCGTTGAAAAATCAAAGACTAAGAACCCGGGTGATAACAAGCTTTTGAACAGGCTGTTTTTTATTTCTCCTTTATTTACAAGACGGTCTTTCGGTATCAGCGCGTCGTGCGTTGACACCGATAAATAATCGCCCACTAATCGCGGTCCTCTTCACATTCTCAAGACATGATTACGTACTAACGAGACAGTTTTTTTCTCGAGTCACATTCCAGAAACATCGGAAAGCATTTGCATCATACAATTAATAAATATTAGATGAAATAATGTTTTATATAAGTACAGTAATTGTAACGTTCGATACGATATCTGATATAACGTTTCGTGGAACGATCGATGCCTGAGAATCGGCAATGAACAGAAGAATTGTGCGTCGTTGCCAGTCTCGTGTAAATGCGCTCGATTTCGAAAGGAAGGAAAGGGTAATCGATACGTTGAAACGCTTTCGAAATACGGATACAGAAGCGAAGAAAGCCTCGGTGCGGTTCTCTTCGCGGTGTGGATTATCACCTCTGCGATCTGCGCATCCGGCTTCACCGAATTCTACTTTCTTTTCTCTTGAAAAGAGTAAACGCAACAGGAAGAGTTCGTAATTAGGGTACTCGCGTTCCATATCGGATTTCCCTTTTGCGACAAAAAGAAAAATCAATCGGAATAACCCGATTGTTGAATACGGTAGTTATTTCGAAGTTACGAAATCTCGAAAAATTTCCAAATCTTTATAAAGATCTATGTTAGATTACAAAGATAAAATAGTATATTTGAATTCTGAAACGTCTAAGGAAATGACATCATTCCTATGGAAATCCTGTGAAAGATACACGGCGAACCCTCGAAAGCCGAATCACTATAAGAATTCCGGAATCCCCACGGACAATCGTACAATCCCTAAAACCTACAGAATCCCTGCGTGAAGCTCTTGAATCAAGACCTAATCTCACCTAACACCGAATTATAACGTTCCGAATGTATAATGAAAATCTTAAGTGTCATCTCGCCAAAAGTGCTTAAAAATACGGTTTTCTCCACATTCCATATCTACTCGCGTTACAAAGCATACGTTAATACAATGATCAAGTCTATTAATAAACACAACATTCTGTTCCATTCCTCACTGCAATTTCCCAGCAGACTAGAACTGTAGACTCTGCTCGAAATTCTGTATACCAACCAAAAGTGAACCGCGTATGCAAATAAAGGTTTAGGCGTTATTAAAACGAAAGTGTTGATCGAACGGCGCGGAGGGAACAAAAGGAGCGATGAAAACAAACACGTGCACAAACAACGAGCGCGATGTGTCGACGCTCGTTAAAATCGGGCGACGACAAACAACCGCGTTCGTTATAAATAAATTTTGTCGAATGGAAAGACAAAGAACGAGGGGAATCGTAGATAAGAAAATTGAATGATAGAAAAATGGGAGAACTGATCAAAGCGGAAGAAATGAATTTATCTGTCTTAATTTAAATATTCTATAATCACAGTTCCTGGTTTATTTAGATGATAAAATTTAAATTGATTTTACACAGATATTATGTATTATGTTATTATGTAGCATGATCAAAAACTCGTGAAATATCGATGGCGACAGGACGACACGAGATAGTTTATGAATTCTCGCCGAATTTTATTGCACATCGCCGTCAAGATTCGCCGACGTATTCAATGATATATTTTTTTACGACACGAATAGATAAGGGGCGAACGCGTCTGCTCGAGCTTCTTTCGAAAGAAATCATCGACTGTATCAGTACGATAACAAATGTACCAGGAGACAAAAGATTGTTACTATTTTTTCTTGTTCACTCTTTGTGTGCTAAGTCATCAGCTGCATTCCGTAATTGGAAACTTGGGATTGATGCAAAAATTGAAAGAAGACCGAACAAGGTTTGTAAGATTCGCAAGTTTAAAATTAGAATTCCACAAATATGATAATGACGTTTCCTTTGGTACGTGACATGTTAACGATTACGGGGAACGCCGATGTTTCTTACTTTAAATTCTCAGAACTTCGATTTCGATTTTCTTTAACTTGTACAAAATCTAATCGATGTACTATCGTTTCGTAACATGTACTGTCCATTCACAGAGAACGGAATTTATTTGAAAGAAAAACGTGGCAAGTAATCTCCCACTATAGTTGTTAACCACTCGACCTACCAACAGTTCGTGTACAGAATGTATCGTATTTTTACATTCTAATGCAATTTAGTGGTACCTCAGTTTGGTAGAAAAATAGTAAACGTATATTTGAACATTGAGCCTAGCTTTAAAGTCGATCGAGAACTGAAAAAACGATGCATAGATTTATTACTATTGGGTTGGCAACTAAATGATTGCGGATTTTAGATAAGAAATCGACAAACTCCGCAATTATTTAGTTAACCCAATATTTTCACGTCATGCCCCAAAGGGGAGACCGACACAATAAAAATCAGGTCGAGAATCCCTTTCCCAAGGCGTATGATAGGTTCAATGTTAAAAGAGGAACAAGTGAAGGTAATTACCTGGGAGCATTGATGATCGGTCGGCCCATTGCCCGTTGCTGGCGCTTCTCGTTGCTGGGAAGGCGCAGGTAATCTTGGTCGCCAAAGAGGAACAGATCCTTTGAAATAATCATGTCCACCGTGTGGTTGCCGGTTATAGCTGCCCGCCTCTCCGTCTTATCTTTATCTCACTGCCGAACCACGGGCTGTACAACGCACCACGACGTCAAACGCGACGGAATATCCTCACCCAAGTCCCGCCACCGCGACACGTCCGACTCGATCACCGACGGCGACGATTCACCTCCGCGATTTGCTTGCCCGTCACCAAACGAACATGTTCGCCAGCTGTACCCGCGACACTGAGACAATTTACCGTCGAGGCACCCGCGAGCAAGCATTAAGTCCGGGTAAAGTTTAAAACGGACCAATCGAGATGACGACGTGACGGTCTACTTTGTTAGAAATAACGCGCGACACGTCTTCTCCCTCTTTGGTAGAATCACTGATGAAAGCTGGAATAAAACAAGGTGAATACCTTCATTAATTTTACATATATAATGTGAACATTGCAAATACTAAATCCGTCAAATGGGAGCACGTATACATATATAAAATAAGTCAGTCATTCTAGTATCAAGTGTCAATAATTTAAAATACAGTCAACGTGATTTTAATGCAAAAATAGGAACCCTAATAATGCAGTACCGTTTTTAAGAGAGAAAGGTCTTATCGCGGTGAGACATAGTTGATTTACAGAACGAGGAAAATGTACGCGTTATTGTTCCGAAAAGCGTGATTCACCGTTGCACCGCGACGCCGAAACGACCTATTGTAGTCCGTAGGTATTCCAAACAAGCCCCGCGGAACGTAAATAAAAAAAATCCTACCAACATTTCCCACAACGCGACGATTACAGGTTCCGAGCGGTAGCGACGACAAACGAGAATTCTGAAAATGCGAAATGCGAGGTGCGACGAAATCGACAAACGACAGATTCCTCAGTTCCTCGAACAGATCCTATCAAGTTCTCATCATCAATGATGATGCGAGACATCATTCGCTTGCCAAACATTTAGTATTAACGTTTGCGAAGATACGTGTAATACTTACGGTTTACCTATTTCTGCCCCACGTCGCTCAATCGACTTCCGAATTCCTGGCATAATCCGAATCGCCGCCATTACGCGTACACTCCGGCCTAGCCACCGGCCCGGTTATTTATCGTCGAGATTTGTCAGCTGTTTACGCGTTCGTAAGGAAAGACGAATACGGCAGGGATCAGGTTGTCGCACGGTTCGAAACTGACGAGGTAAATCGAGCGGACGCGCGCGGAACGCGGGGACGCTCGTCCCATATTTACATCGCGCCAATTTTCACCCACCAACTGTTAAGCATTAGTCACAGATGAGTGGCTCGCCGCGCGAGAAGACGCCTCGCGGATGAGCTTTGAATTTCATACAGACAGCTAATTAAACGAGTCGGACTCGCACAGTTTTCAAATGCTTCAACTGACATCGCTTTCGTTTTACGGCCTCGCGCGCCAAACTTCACACGAATTAACTAACTAAGGCAGTTGTTACCTGAATTTGAAAAAATTACTTGTATATTTCGTTCTCTCATACGCATGATGCGAATCATAGATAAGATTCGAGTTTAGCTTGGAACGGATACTTTCAAGAATTAGTGAGGCGACTCATGACCATCTACTCCAGCATTAGTACTCGTTAAGAAAACAGTTTTCCTTTTTATCACTACTTAGAGTCGACGCGGTGTCGTCGAAATTTTGAAGAAGATATATTTAGCGACGAGTGCCATCAATGAGAGCATACACGATGATTAAGAACAATTATCTCATCGCGAATAGTACGTTCCATGTCACGGGTGCAATGATCTCGGTTCATCAAACGGCGAGATCAATGAACATGACCGGTCGATGACTACGAGTGAGATTATCATTCCGAATCTCAATAACCGTCGCCTATTCGATGATCGAACTACTCATTAAAACACACGCTTATTGTCTCGCCTTAAAACGACTTTCCTTGGAGAAAAGTGATCGACTTGATCCGTTCGTACGGTACTAATTGATCACGGGAATCGCGCGAACGAAAACACGTATTTATCCTGATTTACTTGATTAGAATACACAAGTCAACCGGTTGGATATGTTCCAAAGCGCAGTTGTTCCTTTCAACGCTACAACCGTCCGACCTAATCGGTGTTTTCAGGCAACGAAAATCAGACGTGAGCCTAATTGAAATAACTACCAAAAACACGCGTCATAATCCTCAACGATCAGCATCCCTTGTATCGATTCCACGAATTAATATACTTCTCATTGAATTAACGCGAATCCCGATATCTCACATAGTCTATATTTAAGCTATCGCAATCTCTTTCAGTTGCCGGTCTTATTTCAAGCTTAAATAGTTCGAATTTGAAGATATGAGTGTAATGAGGGTATAGAAAGAACAAGAAAGATAAGACGTCAACTCATACTCGTGGCAAAGTCTGCCATTCGTTGATTAGATTAAATTAGAAAGGTTCGTGAACTTAACGAACAAAGCGGTAAAAGGAATTTCCTACCCAGAACTGAAAAAATTAGATGGGTGGTTTTAATTAAGTCGAACGCGCTTCTTCAATTTCCGAAGTGCTTGAGATATGCATAGGAATAAAAGATTAACCGCGGTGAGAAACCCGGTTAATTAAATACTATTACGAATATGCGATATTTTATAATTGTTGATAAGGTCAGCGTATTGTTGATAAGGTCATTACAAATACGACGTACATACGCGTCCTTCGCTCGTTCGTCCTCGAACGTGAAACAGCCAATTTTTAATGAGAAAATATCTGGCGTTCATCATCCTGTAAAATATGCTACGTGACTTTCTTGCGTAGGTCAATTCCCCCGAGCGTGTTTGTGCTTTCGACCTCCCGAATGTTACGACGAACAACTGTGTTACGGTATTAGTCTTATAGAAGAATGAAAGAACATAGTAGATGTTACGCACTTATGGGATATTTGTGAAGATAAGTACATAACACTTTTCTTTACGTGTGATAAAGTATGTACGAGAAAACAGCGATTGCAGTGAATGACCCTACGCCCTTGATACATCCAAAACGCGTTTGCACCGGAGCTATCTTACGATACGACGAAACCGGAAAAGAATTAGGTCGATATCGAGGGTTCTTTTAAAGTAGCGTGTAAAAGCATCGCGATAACTATCAAACGCTTCCGAGAATTTCGGAGATATTCGAGACGCCGTCTCGACGTAGTTTCGGACGTGTCTATCGAGATCAGCGGGAGGCTAGCCCTCTGATTTTATGGGTTTGGGAATAAAAAGAGAAGGGAAACAGAGCTTTAGAATGCGGTATTATAAAGTCGAGAGGTACTCACGTAAAAAGCACGAAAGATTCCGGTTGTTCCTCGTCGTTATCAGGACTCTCGATCGGGGTGTGCGTCCTCGATCGCGGAGAACCCGGAGAGAGAGAAAAGCTTCAGTAGGTCTCGAGCCTCGTAGCCGGTATCTCCGGGCCAGTCGTCCTCGGCGTCGTCCTCCTCGTAGCTCCTGTCACACATGCACTGTGCATCGGCCACGAACATGCGGCCATTGCGCGGCACGCAGTCAATGAACCCGCATTGCTTTTCACCGGGAGTCTTCGCTTTTTTTTCCCTCTTCGCCTGAGCCCCGCGCACGCACTATCGCCGGTCTCTATCCGCGGATCTTCGGCCGCGCACTCACGACATATATTCCGGTGGCGGTTTTGCACGAGGAACACCCGACCCTCCCGGTGTCACTGACTCCCTTTTGCCTCTTCCTGCGCCGTGTCGTCGTCGTTGTCTCTCTCTCTCTCTCTCTCTCTCTCTCTCTCTCTCTCTCTCTCTCGCCTCTCCTCCTGTCTCTGTGCATGTATGCGCACGCGCGCGTTGCACTTCTCTCTTCGCACGTGTATGTATACGTCGCGACGAAAATCCCTCTCCGGCCCTCTTTTATTTTTCTCTTTATTTCTCTCTTCGTACCTTCGCACGGTCGTTCACTGACCCGCTCTTTCTCTCTTTCTCCGTTTTCAACACGCGACACCGATATTTCGTCCGTATTTAGTGTATCAAATGACGGAATCGAGAAGTCTTGGACACGATCGCGATAAGGGATCACGCGTACGTTGTTGTATCACGCGCACTTGGCACCCGGACTGACTAGTCGCGGTATCGCAGTCTCGTGCTAATGTAGAAGTTCGACCATAGGTTCGCGACGCAACACTCGCGGCGGTCGGTTACGGACTGAATCGTACGCTACTCGCCTCGCGCTCGTGTATTGTCGGGAACGTCCCTCCCTAACCCCATCCGACCTCCCTCTCTCTCGCTCGTTCTCTTTCTCTTCCCCCTATTTACTTCTCTCCGCGGTGGCTATCAGCTCGTGCCAGACCCCGCGCTCATTTTTACCGGCGATCAGCGAATGCACGACCACTGAGCCGAGGGCGAGGGGACCGAGACGTGTACGCACAAAAATCAGGATCTTTTGTCGATCCCCGATGCTTCCTGCTTTCGTTAGGATCGTGACCGGTAGCCATTAATAAACACTCGTCTGATTACGAGATGTTCACGTTTTTAGACGCTCCTGTCTCGTTCGGTCATTTGTGGACTGCGGATTTTTTATGCAAGAGGAGGATGATATGCTGCACACATAGGCGTGAATGGAAAAATGCATTCTGAAGTATTCATGAATAATGGCATCTCTCGGATTCCAGTAAAACTCTTCGGCGTTATCCTCAAAATTTTTATTTTCTAGACGTATTACAAATGTAACACTTTAATTTATTAGAAGTACAACATATCTATAGTATTCGTTATTTAATTACTTCAGACAATATTTTTTCGTGGAGATGTTCAAAAGGGGCGTGACAAATGTAAATTACGAGCCAGCCCGATGGAAACTTGAAATCGATGTAATCATAGGATATTATAATATATAAAATTGTATTAAACCGTATTTAATGATATCTCTGCATATCGGAACCGGTAAATCCCATATCCTCATCTTTTTGGCAAATTAGATCTATAAATATGCTGTAATCGAAGTAACATTAGTGTCCCTCAGATAATAATGTAAAAGGACTATTGGCAAAACTTACTTTATTAAATCTCCTTCGACGCTATTCCAGGCCACTGTTCCTGGATGCGTTATTTTGTACTCTAATAAATTATTAAACTGCTCTTGCAGCTCCTAAAAAAATAGAATATTCCTCCTCATAAAATAGAATATTCTTTAAATATGAAGCAGCTGTTTCAAGATCTCATACCTGAATAAGTTGCGCACTTTGCAGCTCACAAATGAACTTCTGAAAATTTGACAAGCTGATGAAAAAGCGTGCTTTTTCCTTTGCTGAAAAAATTCGAAACATGAACGTATTTCAAGTGGACATGTAAAAATTCACATTAGATTACGTACTTATAGACAGCTTCGGAGCAGCGAATAATAGAATTGGTGAGGTAACGCATGTAGTATCGTGTAAATATATTGCTGTCGATTTCTGCTTCGTAAAATAGGTTAAAAATGGACTAGGACACTTAATTTTATCGTTTACACTTGACGGATGTATACACACTTTACCGTCTTCTGGCGTCCACGCCTGCGTTCCGTTTTTTGTTATCCTCCTGAAGAAAGTACCGCGTGTTCATACTTATGCTGTATGTGCTACAGTCCCGTTCTCTACTGATTTACTTACCGTACACTAGCAATGTTAGGATATAATCCAGCACATACTATCGCTTTTACAAGTGTCATATTCCTGGAATTCCTATTAGCGTTGCTGGCGTTCGGATTGTCCGTTTCTAAGAATTTCATTTCGCACAAATGCTGGGCAAATTGACCCTTCATTTCGGAAAGAAGTTTAAGCGTGTTAAACGAGAGGAAATACTCTGAACAAAACGAGCCTGCGTATCCTCTTTTATATGCAGCCTCGAATCTCGTTACTGCCTCGGCCAATGCAACGTGATCGCTGTATTGGCCCATACTAAGCTCGAGTTTCTTTTCCCTCGCTTGATCCTCTTTTCCCAGCGGGCAGTAAAACGCGTCTTTAAAACTGAGACTAGCTGCGATCGCGAAGATTGGTGCTACGCAAGAAAACAGCGATGCCCATATCAACATCTTTCCTGTTCTCGGATCCAAAGGTAATTGTGCTAAATGATATCCCAAAGGAGTCAAGTGTTCCTCATTGTTCAACGCGTTAAGAGTTCTGAGCAATTCTAAAGATAAATCGATGGTTTTCAAATCTGGAGGATCCATAACGCTGGCTAAGAAAGCTGTCGCATTTCCTAATTGCAGAATTTTTATTTTTAATATAACTTCCTCTAAACGTGTTCTTAGCATTTCGGGCAATGGATACTGATCCAGGGTCATTTCTCTAGCTTTCGAGTACAAATGGTAACAAATACCAGGCTTCACTCTAAATAAATAATATGGAAATCAATATCTTAAATAATAAATTAATTGGTTCAATAATTTATATCGAGTTTCTTACCTGCCAGCTCTGCCTCTTCGCTGTTTAGCATTAGCTGCCGTTACCCATTCGGGTTCCAAAGTTTGAATGTTTTTCTCGACATCGAATTTACTAAACTTAGTTTTCCCGCAATCAACGACGTATACTACATCCTCGATAGTTATAGAGGTCTCAGCTATAGAAGTGGCGATTATTATTTTACGAACACCATTAGGTGGTTCCTGAAATATAAGCTTTTGTTCGACGCTTGGCATTCGGGAGTGAAGAGGATATATAATGTATCGACCTACAAATAAAACAATTTAAACTGTGCAATTAGAATACTGATAAAAATCGCGTAAAAGACATTTACTTTGTGGGTACCGTCCGCTCTCCATCATTATTCTACGTAATTTTATTATGTCCATCATGCCAGGAAGAAAAACTAAAATAGCTCCCGCATCTTTCGTTTTACATATATACATAATTAATTGTTCTATAAGTTCGAGAGACATCTTCTCGCTGTTTGGATTCCGCAACTGATCGATCACTTCCCTTGAAAATTTCTTCTGTAAGGATTTAGAACAAGGAGTTAGTAACAAATAAAATTATAATGCGCAGTAATACAATATTAATATTTGCCTCGGCTATTAGTTCCCGTATATAAGGATCCAATATGTCGTGAAATTCGCCCCGTGCATGTTGCAATTCCTTGAACCTTTTAATATGTTTCTTGTAATCTTGAGGCAGCGGAGCTGACGGCGGAAATTTGAATCTGTAATGCAAAACAATCTTTTCTCCAATCTTTTTCCTACATTTAGACGTGTCTCATAAATGTACTTACTGCGTGAACATTAAAATGTCTTCTAAATAAAATTCTTCTACCGGGAACGTGAAACCCGGAATGTGAATCATCGGGCAATTGTCGTAATATTTCGAGAATCTTTCAGAATTAAGCGTTGCGCTCATTAACAGCACTTTCAAATCTGGGCGCTGGAAATTGATTTAGTTCCCATAACAAATTTCAGCGTTACATATGATATTAATGAAATCGCGGATACCTTAGGGATAATGAGTTTCAATAACGCAAGGATGAAGTCACTCTCCGTAGACCTTTCGTGTATTTCGTCTAATACGATATGAGAAAATTCTTTTAAAGCTGGATCATTTTGTATAAATTGCAGCAACATTCCAGTAGTACAAAATAATATACTTCCTCTATCCCTTGGAAATACCCTACGCGTGCATGAAAACGAAACATATGATGCTCCTTCCAGACAAATGAAAATAACCAAATCACGTACTTTTCAAGTCGGATTTGGTAACCAACTGATTTACCAAGCCTCTCTGCTCTTTCATCGGCAACTCTCTCGGCAACCGACATAGCCGATATCCTCCTGGGTTGAGTGCAAATAATCCGTGTCACGCTACCATTGCCTTGTTCTAGTTGGTCATCCAATATGAACTGAGGTATCTGCGTCGTCTTTCCACAACCTAAAATATATCTGTTCATCTAGTAGCCCGTTCATGAAATTGAATTTCATACAAAGCTTTCGATGAATGTAACTTACCAGTCTCTCCACTTATTACCACAACTTGATTTTCCCTAATTAACTCCAGTATCTCAGATCTTTTCTGATAGCATGGCAACTTCTTTCGAAATTTAAGCATGTTCTCATATTCTGTATAAGACTGCTTTTGCTTATATTCATTTAAGAATTTGGTATCTAACTCAGGATTCCTTTCTAATCTTGATTTAGCTAACAACATCTTTGCCAGATTGTCTTGTATGCTGCCAGATATTATGTTAATGAACTTTCTCTTAAACTGGGAATCGTGAATGTGTACATATTTATTCTCCAGTAAATCATCTGTATCTTGGGCAGATGCACTTCTGTACAGTTTATTATAGTATCCTTTAGAATTTTCTAATACAGTTTCTATTCTCCTTTGAATATTTGGGGACAATTTAATAACATCAGTTTCCATTTCCTTGTTCTTGGCTTGTGCTTTGCCTTTGTAATAGAGTCCTATTTCTCTGCCTTTTAACCCAGGTGGATGTCTCTGGCCTCTACCTCTCGAACGACCACTATGTACAAAATGTGAACCCTCAGAATGTGAGGCTTCTCCTCCTTCACCTAATTAGAAAAATAAAATGAATTTCATGGAGGCCCATCATTTTCTTTATCATGCTATTTTATTAAATATGATATCAAGATAGTTAACCTAAAGCTACTACAAGAATTATAAAATTTAGAGGTAATAACAAGATGTGTATTGAACTAATAAGTGATATATGAAACATAAAATTTTTATACTGAAATGAATCTGTACATGTATAATTCATAAAATCTAAGTTTGTACAGATATAGCATTGATTTTCTTGTGGTTTTTAAATCACTTTCATTTACCATATTTACGTCTCGAATTCATTCCTCGTGTTGAAAATCTCTGAAACAGATGAGACCTATTGAATCCTAAATGATCTGATCAAATCGTTAACATTCCGTATACTCGTTACAAAACTTGTTCGACTACTTAAATATTGACGAATTCGCCGCTCTGCCGTGCGATCAATTTCCACCAATTCCCACTAAACGAGCGCCGGAGGAGCCGAGATCGAAAGGAACCAGCTGTGCATGTGGATCGAACGGAAATTTTGGTATTTTTAGTTATAATCTTTCAAAACTACCAGTCACTTTTCTCGATATAGTAGCTTCATCGAACATCGATAAAATCAATTATATTATCCTCCTGATGTTTAATTACACGATAATTAACTGTGACAATTCTTCCACAAATTCCGCGATCGCCTGTCTAGTAGTTAACAATTTTGTCTGGCAAGTGGTAACTTCTGCGCATTTCTACGTCCATGTGTACGTGAACATGTATGTATTTAACGGACGATAGGAAAGTGTGCATCATTTTAATCAACGTACAGATTCAGGCAAGAAGTGCATGCGTGCAGAAAATCAGAGATGGGTAGCACCGAGGTAACGTCGACCCCGAAGAAACTGAACGAGAGTAACGATGTCAATGAAGTTTATGGGGCGAACTTGAAGATCCTCCCGTGTAACAATCAAGTGAAAGAATTGCAAACTATATTGCGGGACAAGTAAGTCAGAACTCCGGTCCTCTCGTATCCAAGTATATATACGTTCACCCAGCAAACACGCCGGTCACCGGTAAATCTTATCGTTAGTTTGCGATCAATTACATTAATGAACACGAATCTAAATCTCCGTTTATAGGAACACCACGAGGAGCGATTTCAAGTTTTACGCCGATCGTTTGGTGAGTGTTGTTTTTTTATTCAATTATATCATCTCTGACGCGGTGTCATGCGTTTTCTAAGGAATTTTCATCACCTCGAGACTCTCGTGATTTCTAAGCACACGTGGTGACCAGAACATATGTTTCAATGAATATTCAGAACTTCGCAGAACTTCGTAATATTCATAGATTATTTTCGTTCTAGAGTCCAATATAGGTCATTATTTTTTCCTGTCCTTGCCTGGACAGACCTTTTTCAGAATTGAAAATCACCTTTTTTGTAGATAAGGCTAGTGATAGAGGAGAGTTTGAATCAATTACCTTTTTCTAAATGTGTAATAACTACACCGACCGGTGCCACGTACAATGGTTTGAAATACCAAAAGGGAAATTGTGGTGTGTCCATAGTGAGAAGTGGAGAGGCCATGGAACAGGTAGGATTTTGTACTTTCCATTCGAATGTACAATCGTATCAATTTTTCATGTCGATCTCTTTAGGGTTTAAGAGACTGTTGTCGTAGTATAAGAATTGGGAAAATATTAGTTGAAAGCGATGCCGATACCCACGAGGCCAAAGTAGTTTATGCCAAATTTCCAGATGATATATCAGAAAGAAAAGTCTTATTAATGTATCCTATAATGAGTGAGTATCAGTTTCGATGCGTGCATCTCCGTATGCTTTGATATTGTAAAATTGATGTTGCGTTTAAATGAAAGGTACTGGGAATACTGTGATAAAGGCAATTGCCGTCTTGAAAGAACATAACGTGCTCGAAGAGAATATCATTTTGTCAAATTTATTTTGTACGCCAATCGCAGCCAAGACTCTAGTCACTGCCTTCCCGAAGGTACGTACGCTCCTCTGCATGATTTAAATGTAAATGCGATGGTAACTCGTTCAGTATTACAAGACTTACTTATAGACAACTTTCATGTATAAGTGGTCTCAAATTATGCATTAGCAAATTATTTTTTATTATGTATTATAGTGACTTTTGATTGAAAAGTTTACTTAGAGATCGCTGAAGCGTTTATGTTTGCAATGAAATTGCATTTCGTTTTACAGATGAAGATTTTGACATCAGAGATTCATAGCGTTGCCCCAAATCATTTCGGACAGAAATACTTTGGTACGGATTAAATTTTCTCAGCTTATTATATCATAAGCTATTATTTAAAATAGTCATATGAACGAATAGAAAATCAGTCACAGAAGGTGACACGTTGATTTTAACTATAAAGCATAATACAATTGATTGTACGAAAATGAAAGAGTGACATCCTGTTTATAGTATTGCCAATGCTACTGTTTGTAAGTTGTCATCTGACCTAGTGTACGCAAACATAACTTAAACATTGTTATTAGTTACTTAACTTAACCATTCATTAACATCTTTTATCACGCATGGAATTCATAACAGTGAACAAACAAATGTTCTGTTTTCAAATACCATTTTTCATTAATATCGAGTACTTGTACATATATCCAATATGCAAGAATTCACTGAATACAACTTAATGTAATACATAATTTTTAATATTGCTGGAATTATATTCATTTTTCATAAGTTGCTTGCATAACAAGTAACACGACAGTCTCGCATAATATTTAATTACATTTTAATAATAAGAGAACTTAATAGGGACATAGTTTTACTGCAGTATTGATACCTGTTGTTTTTTAAATTATATAATTATTATAGGTGAAAAGTACACGCTTAAGGGGAAATACTAGATTTAGTGTAAAAAGAAATAGGTAGCATAAATGGAACATATAAAAGTACTTATTATACGTGTATTTACAAATGTCCAATAGCTTTGGCAATACTGTACTATGACGTTACTTATAGTTTTATAAAAGCATTTATTGTTTTTTGTCTTAAAAATCTTTTCTCTCTCTCTTTCTGCATAAGCATATATCTTAAAGATTGCCACGTTAAGAATGCTGTTCATATATGCTTTTCAATTTGCATTCTCTTGTTAAGTTCTCGACACATTTCGAATAAAATATTTTTCGATTACGTTTCAAAGTTCTGACGAATGTAAATATGTATCTATTTTATTACCTCACGTAGAAAAATGTTTAAAATCTGTCTGGACCTTCAGTAGATTGATTTTCTCCAAATAATATGAGACTGTAAGTAAATACGTTTTATTCTATTTAAAGATGAATCAATCGTTTGCTCATTGACTCATCTTCCTCGCATAATACGCCAATTATGATTCTTTTTTTTATTCTTTGCTGTGTACATCGTAAATTACGAATTCACGGTAACGTGTGCGTCAATAAAGGGCGGAATGCGTCAGCAGACGTATATCTTATATAACATTGATCAAGCCATATGAGTTCTTTCCAGATTCCCTTTTTTCTGTTGCATAAAACGTATTTTGTAAAACGTATAAAAGTAGGAATACCGAATTGTCGTACTGAAAAATTTTTCATAATTGTACACTCCAATGATTCCTAGCACTCTCGCATAATTGTAACGAAATATTTCACTATCTGGGTGATAAAGCACAATTTTTATTCGATAGATGGAAATATAATTTGCATAATTCAGCACTCCTTCTACAGGTGCAATTATATTAAGATAAGTTTTTTCTTTCTTTTGTTCGGTCGATACGTTCGATAAGTAAGAAAATTATTTCGTTCTTAACTGCATGCCGAGTATCGCAAAATGTACTTCACTAATGTTATTTATTTCTAAACTTATCGAACGAAATCTAATGACGAATCTTATCTTATCCTTTAGTTTTGTATATAAATAGTGTCGTGTGCAGAGTTCGTATTGTAATCAGAAATTACAATGTGACGGATGAATACATTTAATATTTAGCTGCGTAACGGGGCGTTATACTTAGTATCAAAACTGTGTTTCAATACTACCCGGTCACTGCATTTTTATTTTTTTTTTTTCTAAGCAATCGGAAGTACATCCGTGTTATCTATTTCGATGCATAGTAATGATGCGTGAATAAGTACAAAACGTTAGCATACTGTCCATCATGATTAAATATTTCTAACCAGATATATCGAAACAGTGTTATTACGATGTTGTTAATGTTCATCGACTCTCATGAACACTCGTGATATGAAAGAATTTGTGAGGCCCACTAATTTGCAACATGTAAACGATGTTTCAGAAATGGAAATTTACTAAGCTTATTATCACTTGTATTAATCAGAACTTTCCGTGTGACTGTTGAATGATATCTAGAATTGATTATGCAGCTTTTCTTCGGTTTGCGCATAAGCGTGTTCGTTATTATTAGTTTTTTATCTTCTTGGTCTTTGTATTGTTTTTGTTTCTCGATTACAATTGAACAGACAAAATTTCAAGTGTACCTATGATATCCTCGGAGAAGAAATCACTGTGCCTATAAATAAAGCTGCATTACAGTATCTAGATCTGTGATTTTAAGAACCATATGTGCATTATATTATGTCCTTTGAGTGTACACAGATGTCTGTTATTACGAACGATATTTGTACACTTGTTACACTGTAAGTTACGTCAGAGTAATTTTCGATATATTAATAGTATTTGCATTCACAGTGAATTTATATTAGTGAAAGTATTGTACATTATGTATCATTGGAATATATGAATAAAATTTCACAGCAAGTACTAATTACCTAACACGAGCGAATCGAAAATAAATAGAACTTCATGAATGTCATTTTGATTCTTTTCTTTTTGTTATGTCAATGAATACGAGTAGAGCTTTATTTCTCTTAAAACCAACAGAATTAATACGTAACGTCAATTTCTTGTCAATTTGCATCTTACTGTGGTTTCATTGAGTATTAAAGTTTATAGTACATAATTATTTTATAGATGATGACATAGATTGCATGAAAAACACGTTCACGATTATTGTTTTCAGGCTGTTCTCGTTTCGTCGTAGGGGAGACTGCGAACGTACAAGGAAAAGATATTTGAAGATTTTCTGTTCTGAACGGTTGCATAATTCTCACAATTTATTTCCTAATCATATTTTCAACCGACGATAACACCATTAGGGAAGTAAGAAAAGTATTTTTAAACGGAGAGTTTGTTAGGCCTGGATATACTGACGATTTAGACAGAGTTTATACACATTTAAAAATGTACTTCTTAACTGATACCGGAAGTATTGAAAACTTTGGACGTTTTATTTTTACATTCGTTAATATTAATGCTAGTCTTTTACTTATCGTTAATGCGAAAACCGAACAGTCAGTATATCAATAATTGTACCGATAGTACGAGGAATACACGATTGTTATACGTTATAAGTCATTGTTAAACAAGTATTTGTACATAAAAATTATATATAAAATTGACAAGTGTATTCTCAGATATTGAATTAATTTCTGTCGGACGAGATTAATTTACTTACCGAAAGACATCCGTACCACGCTCAGATTCGAATCGATGTCACCTGTAAACTCGAGTATTAATAATGACATACACGTTATCTAAATTATTCACGATGTTTTACAGATAATACTTGGAAGAAGAAAATTACAGATAATGCTTGAAAAGAATTGTATGTACAGAATCATTTAGGCAGATCCTTAAACTTGTATCATGATATTTATTAGTAAATTTTTATATGCGTGTAACAGTGATCGGCATGATTCATATATGTATCATGTATATAATGAATATTGTTCTCGTAAATATAATATTTCGAATATATAATGTTAAAATTTATTAACTCGTGTGATGCTCATGTCCAACACCTATTACTCACGAACATACCATTCTCTAATAAGAACGAGGTGGACATATAGTTTGATCCTTTGACCAGTCGACTCGAAGGTACAACAACTGTGATACTTCGACCCGTCAATCACATTTTCACTAATGGGGAACAAACCCAAAGCTGATGTGTGCGTATATTGAAAATATGAAAAGCGATGCTGCCTTTGAATTCACTGGTAAAGGAACGATCTTGTATTATATCAATTCTTATGCGTGCCATTTAAAGCTCTTTTTATTTCTATTCTCCTAGTCTGATTCCTAACGATTGCAAATATTTTTCTAATCAAAAGCCACAGTACGATGGGTGTATTAAAATTAGTCAGGCTTATCATCTCGTGCATAAATATAGCGTTATGAACTTCTAATAATGTATACATTCATTTTCCTCGGCTCGTAACAAAGCAACATGGTTCATAACACTTGCGTAAAGCTCGAATTTGTTCGTGATTGATACCCGTCTATTATTTGGTCGGTAAGTGAGTATATTTGTAAAAGAAACTATGTCAAGCTGTTCGAACGAGTTGCATAGTAAGATATTTACGATATGAATTTGTTTTTGTTCTAAATAGAAACAATAGGCCTTTGATGAAAGGGTTTAAGAATTCCTTGTATTTTACTAATTTTTATCCTGTAAGTAAATGTTTTCAGCATGAGAAATGTAAACCGGCTATTGCTAACGTTACTCTATCCTTAGTCCTTTATCCGGGAATTATCTGCGTACGAATTAGTTTATAAATATAAGAAATTAATCCGCAATTTTGTCGAACGTACCACGCGGAGCTGATAAATCTGTCCTAAATTAATCCTAACTTTGTTGGAAGTGATATCGATAATTATTTTAGGACGCGCCCGACGGATAAAACGTCATTGCGATATCGATACCTAGTCTAACTAAAATTTTGTCACGTCTTTTGTAAGAATTGCATTTCATGCAAAACTGAGTGTTGTACTGTCCGAACTTATATATATATACAATTGCACGACGCGAAACTATGCTCTTAAAAATCTTGTATAAAGACAAACGCTGAATCGAGTCGATATCTTTTGTCAAAAATTTCTAAAAATGGAAGTCACTCCGTAGTAAAAATGGAAAACGTTTGGACGAGAATACAAATTAAACGCCAGATCATGATACGACTATAAAATTGATCGTAACTGTTTCAGCGAGTAGCGGGACGAGAAATTATATATTTTCTCAATACTGAAAAATTTATTACCCCTAGCGCGTTGTTAGAGCTCTGTTTAAGAATTAAAAATACAGTACAAACAATGTAAAATGTCGACATAAGAAATTAAAAAATTTGTATCATCTACTGATAACGGGGAAGCGGCGAGAAGTAATTATCATCTATAGACAGACCTATCGATAAAATTTGATGGTGAAAACATGCTCGATTGCAAAATATAAAACGTTCCTATAAAATTATAGCTTATACTTCATTTATACTGTTCGTTCAATAGAATCTCTGCGAGGCAGAAATATTATCTTGGCAGTACCTTCACTCAGCCTTAGAAGTAGGATAAATATAGCTTTTATAAAATACCCTTGTCAATGGAAAATCGAGGGGAAAAGAAAATATAAAATGTCCCACTATCATATGGGCTTACTTCGAACCTATTCTTCTTTCTCTTGGTCGCCGGATTTTTCTTCGTTCTTTTCGACATTCTCTTCTACGGTATTTTCTACTGTTTCATCTTCGATTTTTGTTCCACCATCATTTTCTATAGATTCTTTAGGTTCATCTGACTGTGCATTCTCGCTTGACAAAGTTGTCCTATCTTCAACACTAGAACGATCAGAGAACCTAATTAGACGTAGTTCGGTTGATTACACAGGAAGTTAGAAGACGCTTTTGGTTCACATATATTCACAGATATCGGGTATAGACGTTATCTAATTTAAATGATTAATTACAGAATTATGCAATCGAGGTGCTCACCTTTCGGGCTGCACTGCAACTGCATCTTTGTCTGTGGAAGGCTAAAATAAACATGTAGTAGTTAGTGTGGACAAGGTACAAATTTAGTATCAAGGACAAAACACCGGTATATAAACATAGGTGATCGTAAAGATGATCAGAGACCAAATTGAATATGTTAAAAGAACTTCGTACGTAAAAATCACGTGGGTACATTTAACAAATTTTCCTTGGACAGAATTGAATTATCCACGACAATTACCTCTCTACTCGTGGTATTTCCATTTTCTTGGATTTCTTTACTCTTATTCGAATCAGCCCCTGCTGCCGGCGCCACTTTTAAAAATTCTTCCAATTCGTCTACTTCATTTGCCAAATCGAAATCTTCGTAATCCTTCGGGACAATTTATTTATAAATATTTATAATATTAAGCTCCGCATGCTTTTGACTATACAGTCTTGCATAAAATACGAATATTTCGTGAATTCTGATAATTACCCCGCAATATTCTTCCTCGTTAAATATTTGTGGAGGTAACGGATATTTACTATCTTCTTCTCTCGCGATACTGTTAGCTTGCATAAACTCTTTTTCCATTTCCTTCCCAGGCTCCGTTATATCAATCGTCTCGTATTGTACATTTTTACTATCCAATATCATCAACACCCGCTGTTGCCTCTTTTTCACCTAGATTCAAACGAATGCAGTCAAACCACGCGTACTTCAATTAAATCGAAAGGTCGCAAGTGGATTCGAAAGTGTGACGGAGTTTCAACTTGTTTCACGGTCTGGTGCAACGCGAATCGAAGTATCGATTCGTTCAAAATACAGGCTGTTGAGATTCTTATCAGCGACTAACGATAGATACTAAAGATGATGAAACGATCTATATGCGTCTTCGATTTGACATCGACCGAGATCGATGCGAAAACTGAGGCCAATGGCACTGAATAATGTTTCGAGAAAAAACATAAACACTGATCAGAAAGTTCGATTACCCAGGACTCCTGTCTCTATTTTCCATGAGTACTTTCTCGACTGCATTCCACGATCCTCGAGAACGTTTTCTCTGTTACAATCATGCATTTGAACGGTCGAACAAGTCATAATCAGCCTGCTATCGACTAGATCCACTATACACGTTTTTCTAACTGCATTCAACCAGAAGGAAAATCTCGACGACGCGTACGCAATTGCGTGTCAGGTTTTCTCGCCTCTAACGCTGGTTGCTAATCACCCAGGCGCGTCGACCGTGATGTTTAGCAATGTAATCCGATACAACGTTAGACGTGAAATATTGTAAGGATCCAGGTGCCCGGTAAATCTGGCATTCTCTTCGCACGCACGCACATATATACGCAAACAGACACGGTGTCAAATTCGTACACACATACAGGCATTCCCTCTTTATCTCTCTTTCTCTCTCTCTCTTTCTTCCACCGAACAAAATATATCTTTATATATTCTCGTTGGTCAGGTTGAATCTCGGAGTTGGCTTTTTCACACTCACTTCCTTGTTACCGCTGATGCCCGATATGTAGATCTTGACGACCATCGTTAACCGGCGATTCTTCTCACCTCACCAGTCGACACTCTCGCACTTCTCTCTTCGACTTAATGCCACGACCAGCGGGTAACACGGACTGATAAACGATCGGTGAATCACTATAGCCTATTAGTCGCGGGGATCGACGGCGGTGAGCAACACTGATTTAAGCACACGCGAGCCTGCCTGCCTGGGTGATCCACCAGCGATCCACTGGCTACGTCATTTCAGGCCGGTTTTCGAGCGTTTTCATGCGCGCTTCCACCACGAGTATCCTTTCATCCTGCGGCCACGATTCCGGATGCTGGCGTGCGACCTCATCGAAATATAACGGTCCGGCTATCGAGGTCAACCTGCACGCTTATCTGTCAGTGAAAATTATTTAATCAAGAGAAATGCCGTTAGTGTTTGCGAGCAATATTGAGTAGGTCTAAAGCGAACGGGAGTATTGATTAGATTTTGATCCAGTAAGAAAATAATAATAGTAGTAAAGCGGGTGTGTTTTATTATATAGTCTGCATAAGGAAGAACGTGCAAGTTTATTTCGTGTGATTTAAATTCGCGGCGCTTTTGTAGTGAATGCGCCTTTGCTTTGTGGATTTCCGGCGAGTTTACTGCGTAGTGAGGATTTGGCTTTAGTGTCTTTCCTCTTTTCCGGTTCTCGCGGGACGTACCGTGTATTTGTACAAAATGGTAAGTATTGTTATTTAATAATATCTTGTGAATCTTGTCAAAGTTTCGGTGGAATTGTTTATGTTGTGATTTGGAGCAAAATGTTTTAAAATCGATTGTGCTTAGTTATTTAATTAACAACTTGTGAAAATAAAGTGACTTACTATATGTTTACATTTATTCCGCTATCTGATTTTTTTAATAGTTGCACACAATTTAAGAGAAATAATAATTGAAGATTCTAGTTTTTTAATTTTAAAGAAACAAAGATGATATGTTCTATTCCTCGATGATAAATTTGTTTGAATAATATAGTTCGTGTGTTATGATTTAACCTATGTGTCGCGTACAGATATTTTCATCGCTATCGAAGTAAGAGATTAATTAGAATCGATACGTGAATCTGGTTTGTAAAATGCACTTTCTTTGATGTCAGGCGAAACGCACGAAGAAGGTAGGAATCACCGGTAAATATGGTACCCGATATGGTGCCTCCCTTAGGAAGATGGTTAAGAAGATGGAAATCACCCAGCACAGTAAATACACATGTACATTCTGTGGCAAGGTAAGATCTCAGTTTTAATAATCACCACTAATGATATAATCATTGTTCATACTTAACTTTTGCTTCTGTCACGACAGGATGCTATGAAAAGAAGTGTCGTTGGAATCTGGTCCTGTAAACGCTGCAAAAGGACTGTCGCAGGAGGTGCTTGGGTATATTCGACAACAGCAGCTGCCTCTGTCAGGTCTGCAGTCAGGAGGTTGAGAGAAGTTAAAGAACAGTAAATAAATAGAATGAATATTTCTTAAAAATATATTGTCTCTTTTATTGTACTCCTGAATTAATTCCTTCGATAAAGGAGTGATATTAAAACAAAACTGAGTCTTCTGTAGGTTTAATAGATTTGCGACAATGTATGATACATTAACTTGCTTCGAGCAGTATTTGATGGTTTAGAGTTCTCGTGTGATTATTGAAATTACATTGGAGGCACATCGAACCTATGTATCTACATTCCCATCGTTTAAACTTTGCAGATATATATTCTTATAGTATTCGTAACTTTCGATTTATTTGATAAAAATTTCGTTTTATAGAACATTAATATACAACGTGAACATTACCTTGATTAAATTAACTAACTAATTTTTAAAAATGTATGGAATTTCTTTAAGTAACTAATCACAGAGACTGGATTTTCTATTTGTAGAATATTATTTAAACTTAGTGGAACGTACGCGTAGATTATTTTATTGTCTTTAAAGGTATGCTCATTTCAATGCTTCTCTTTATTATTAATAATGGAAAAAGTAGTCTTTTGTTTC